ACAGTGTAACCCCCGCTTTCACTATATTTGATGTCAGTATAACATGTGGAGGAGACGGGGACAAACAAGTCGTTTAAGGATTCAGGTGGACCTGTTGCAACAATGAGAAGTACAAAATGTCATGTCAAAACCAGCTTTACAATGTCGGTGGGGGGGAGGGAGGGGGGGTAGGATTGGGTGGGGGGAGGGGGGAGGCTGGGAAGGGAGGTGAAGGGTAAACAAAGGAGGAGGCTGCAATGCTTGGTAAGAAATGTATGCATTATCCTGCCCATGTAATTGTAACCCCTCCGTACAGTATGTTTTCAAATAAAATAAAATAAAATAAAAAAAAACAAAAAAACAAAAAAACAAAAAAAAAATATTCAGGTTGACCTATAGGAAAGATTTCTACTGACACAAATGTTAATAATTTTTAATTGTAAACATGTCATTACTCAGTTTGTTTTAAACAAAATCTTACCTAGAGCAGATAGTGCAAAACTTAACTGTGCAATTTTAGAAAATTCCAGTTGTATGTGCGTATGTTTGTGGGTTTTTTTCCCTATTTAAACCCTGATTCTCGGTGTATTTCTGGTACAGAGACTTATTGCTTGTATCCTTCTGATTTCAGAAGCACATATCTGTGCATGGCTGCCTGGCTGCCTTTGAATTCTATCTTCATAAATGTATTATTTTTAAGGATCCAGAAAAATTAGCAAGAAACAAATAGTCTTTCATTTGCTACTAACCCTTCCCCTCCAATATACCACAGAAACTAAGAAGCAATTTCAGGATTGAGGAGACTTGGAAATATATACCCATAATATACAAACAATTCCCAAAGGATTCTTGCAATGAACTCATATGTTTGAAAATCTTCTCCACCCAGCTTCTGTCTCATTAGCTTCAATTTGTGCAACTCCAATAAGGAAAATACAAGGCACAGTGCAGATTAAGTGCTACAAAGACCAGAATCACAATCACAAGAGTCTCCTGAAGCTGGAAGTAAAAGACTTGATTATTTCCTCAAAATTCCCTTCTCTTTGGTCTTCAGTGAGATCAAGGGCTAGTGTCAACTTTGTGTGGCTTCTGTACACGCTGTATCTGAGGTCGGGCTTAGGAAGGAAAGGGCTCCAGAGATAAGAATAGCAGAGCACTCATGTCATTAATCAAGCTCAGAGAAAGCCCCTTGGATAGTCCTGGTCTCAAAACCAAAGTGTTCCCCAGGACTTACTAGCCGCTCTGCTGTTCCCCTCCATCTCAAGCGACATTTCTGCTGTTGGTGAATAGAGGATTGACAGGTTGGGGAGCTGGGAGGAAGTATAATTTAGTATATCTGGTAGCAGAGAACAGGGAGTACAATTGGGCTCAGTGTTAGGAGACCCAATGGATTGACAGTCGAGACAGCAGCTTGTCTTCCCTACACAATGGACTGCTGAGGTGGCTGCTGAACAGGAGGATCACAGTTAACAAAGCCCAGCATTTGCCCAATGACTCGTATTCAGCAGAGTAGCTGAGGCAGGAGAGATCCTGGCCAGAGAGCTCAAGCCCCAGGACTGCTCTGGGCATGGGAAGAGTCATCAGAATGTTCTAGAGTCTAGGACAATGAGTTCAGAGGGTGGAGAGACGAAGGAGACGGGACAATAAGAGGCTTTAACAACTTGAGATTGACCAAAAATGGAACAACATATTAAAAATTGTGTAATAGACAGTACAGCTGAATTGGAAATGGAGCTGGATGTGCCCTACACATTCAAAAGACCAATTTTATACGCACTGAAACAAACTCCAGAATTTACCCCATGAGTTCAACACTTCAGGCTAGGTTTCAGACAGAAACACTACTCAGTGAACTCACCATTTGCTGACTGATAGCAACAGGAAGTGTTGCTGTGCAAAGGAGGGAGGGCTTCCGCTTTGCACAAACATTAGCAGGCACACTGCACTATCAGAAGAGAAAGGGAAACCCTGGAGTAAGTCAAGAAGAATCTGAGCATCTTCCATGGAGAAGTGGGAAAGTGAAGTAGGAAGATTCTGGAAAGCTGGGCTCCATATATCACAACCAAGTCAAAGAATCCCGGAACTCATCAGTGATGACATCTAACTGTGCACAGCGTATCTTCCAGCATGCCCCCAGTGGAACCTGTATCACTGTTCACCAGTTTCTCTTACACTACAGCGCTGGGCTCACTGGCTACAAGTGATGCTCATGGTGCTCTTAACTCCTCCTTTTCCTCCTCCTAGCACCCACCAGTTCTGTAGCCTCTGCTTCCTCCATATCTCCATACCTGCCCCCCTTTTTTCCCTCCTGTTGATACTGCTGTAGCAGTGGCAGTTTTCTTTCTTTCTTTTTTTCTAATTTCCTGTTGAAGAGGACTATAAATAGATGCTCTGCACCAACCAGATCATTCACCAATTCATCTGAGCCTAAACCATCAGAATATACCGATAGCAGATCACTATATTCTTAGAAAAAAGGTAGAGTTCCTTTTAGAGAATGAACTTTTCCACATCAACCATTTGGGAAGAATGAATAGGGTTTAAGGATTAGGCAAGCAGATCTTGGGTTGGAAAACATTTCAGGTTACTTTCACTTTCTCAGTATTTATGTCCTTAGTTTGAATCCTGGACATGGTTGGGCATATTGCTATAAGAAATGAAGCCAGACTTTTGAAAAAGCCTTTGGAGACCCTTGCAGATGGGTTTGGATTTGAATCAAGAGCTCTGAGAATAGCCACATGTCTGAAGTTGAAAATTACCTTCTATGTTGTTGAATTGACCTTCCATTGACTCCTGAACTTAGGTTGCAGACATGCATCTACTCTCACTGTAGGGAGCTACGGAAGGATGTGTCTCAAATCAAACAAGGCAGAACCAGAGAGAGCACAGTCTGAGGGAGGCCAGTCTTGAAAGGTAGAGGCAGTTTGGTGACGGCAGTCCATAGGAAGACATAGCAATAATCTGGGACTAGAAGAACAATTTCCAAAAATCTGTGGTGTCAGGGAATCTGCCTTTCTGCATTCAGGCAAGATGGAAGCTCAAGCCATGAAGATCAAGTAAGAGCTCATACTCTAGTCTCTTGCATGTCTGGTAAGTTCTATGCATAATAGAATCACTGGAGGTCACAGATAGCAAGAGCCACAGTTAGATTCAGCACCTAAAAGCACTTGTGATTTAGGACTTATGTCTCAGTCTCTTCTGGGTGACAGTTTCCAGACAGATGAGAAGGTGATACAGGTGCCCCTCCCCAGCACTCACTGCCTACAAGCTCCATGGCCATGGTCCTTGGGAGGCTGGGCTATCTGTCCTCTGCTAAGAGATAAGCGAATGGAGAGTGGCACAAAAATGGCCAGGGAATCTTCCTCAATACATCGTTAGGGAGTGGTCCAAAGTCCAGTCAGGAGGGATAACAACATGATAGACCAACAGGAAGGATAACAAGCAGCACTTCCAAACCTTCTTGTCTCCTCCTACATGGGCGGTGCTTGGTTGATTATTGGTAGCATCTACACAGTGAGAGCAATCCAAGTCAGATGGTGTAATCAGAAATGTCTCAGAAACTGAGATTTCCCAAGCCATTATTGTTCTATATGAATTTCTTGTTAATGCTTAGCAGCAACCGTTGATAGATTCTAAGAGAGTTTGACAGCACTAAGCTTTTGAAACAAAGAATGAAAAAAATAGCCTAGAGTCTTTCAAGTAGGATGTGCTTCTTACCCTCAGGCATTACATTACCCTCATTGCATTCTTGGAAGCGTGTGTTCTATTCTCTCCTTCAGATGCTTCTCTTTACCAGTTGGTGTGCTGTGGTAAGAACCCCAGGTGGCAGGAATCAAAAGCCAGGGTGGCAGGTGAGACCAGGAAAACCCCTCTTTGGGCTCCCTAAGAATTTCACATCCTCCCAAACATGGAAGATGGGAGTCATGGGCAACTTTCTTCCCTATCAGTGAGGATTAAGATGCTTCAACCTCTATGAATGCTTAGGAAGCAGGGGAAAACAGTGAGAAGGCAAAATGACAGTTCAGGGTGCAAACGATGAGGGCTGGTGGTGAGAGTGTATAATGTACTTTCTATTCTGCTTGTTACGTCAGACTACGACCCCACACCCCCAACTCAGTGGGAAATTCAGGTCCCTTCTCTCTCCTAGTTATCAGAAAGAAGTCCAGGCAAGGTCTTGGTGTGCAAAGGAGAGAGAGAAAGAGAGAGAGAGAGAGAGAGAGAGAACGAACCATACAGAATGTGACAATATGATCTCTTCAGTATGTGGGGTGCATGTGTCCCATCCCCAGTACAACCCAGTGGTGCCTTCCTGCTGACCAGATGGACACATGTTCTCCTCCTCATGCAACACCCCAATACCCCAAGGTGACCCCCTTAGTTCATGTTCCACCCTCAAAATTCAAAACAAGTGTCTCCTCTACAAGTCTCATCTTCTTCTATCACTTGTTTTTCTTGTAGCAAGAACTGTCATAGATTCTCTTCTCCCAGGTCAAAAAAATTCCAGTGTCTGAAAGAAGAAAGACAGGAAGGAAGAAGGAAAGAGGAAGGGAAGAAGAAGGGAAGGGAGAAAGGAGGGAAATAGGGATAGAAAAAAGGGATGAAGTGGAAGAGAGAAAGAAAAAGGAAAACACCAGAGGCTTTGGAAGAATGTCCTAAACACTGAATGATCTGATGTGTGGTGCAATCTAGTCACCAGGACAACCCACCTCCTTTCCACAAGGTGCCTGATTCCAATCTGGTCATGACCTCAGCACGGATCTTTGCTGAGCTGCTTTCAAGAAAGGCCCAGGCAGTGAGCCTTCAAGAACTAATGGAAGGAGCAAGTCAATAAACAGTTGTGGCAGTGAGGCCAGGAAGGTGGGCCTCCTGGGCCTTGCCAGCCCAGCAGTGCTGCCCCATGCCTACAATTCCCTTACAAAGTCACATGTCATGTCTCTTGGTAAGCCTATGTGAATGAGACCCGCTAAGCAGACAAGATCAAGAGGAAAATATCCATCATAGATGGGGCGGAGTGCACTTACCTCCATCCGCAGTGGAGAAGCTCTGTGGAAAGAAAAGCAGGGCAGAGCATTACTGCACAGGTGGGACACAATCCCTCGTCCCTTTAACTGCCCTTCCCTCAGGCCCAGGCCTCACATTGAACTGTGCTGGAAAAGCCCCCATACTCAGCTGTCTTCTAGGAAATTCGATTGGGACCCACAAATTTAGAGAAACAGTTAAGTATTTACCGTTCCCATTTTCTACTGAATTTCTATTTATTGAGAGACGCATTCGAATGACCCAGGAAATAGCCGTGTTTATGTTCGAGAAGTGATACTAGGAAAATCCCCTCTTACAATTTCACTAGGCTGGCACTGAGGCCTGAACTCAGCTGTCCCTTAGCTTTTTCACTCAAGCCTGGCTTTCTGCCCCTTGGGTCATGCCTTCAATTCTGGCTGTCTTCTGATTAATTGAAGGTAAGAATCTCATGTGCTTTCTTTTGTCTGGGCTGGCTTCCCTCGAAACTCAGACCTCAGCCTCCTGATGGACAGTTTTTGTATCACTGGGGGTACTAAGGAGACAGGGGACTTACAGGTTCCCTGCTCCTTACTGTGTGGTATCACTCATTTTTCAGGCAGCAAAATCCTTGTCTTCACATTCTTTCTACTTAGAATTTGTGTCCTTTTGATACAGTGTCAACTCTGGCCATTTATAAAGGAAAGACTCACAAAGCTAAGTATAATTAAAGCCCCTGGGAATGTGCTTCATGTTTAATAGAAATTGGGTTAAAAATTCTTCAATCCAACAGAAGACCTTCCATGAGGCAGGGGGATATGTACAACAGGTAAATGGTATTTATTTAATGAGTCTTTTTGTTTTTCCCCTTGGTCCTGGGGCTTGAACTCTGGGCCTAAGCACTGTGCCTGAGCTTCTTTTGCTCAAGGTGAGCCCTCCACCACTTGAGCCACAGTGCCACTTCTGGCTTTTTTGAGTAGTTTATTGGAGGTAAAAGTCTCACAGAGTTTCCTGCCTGGGCTGGCTTCGAACTGTGATCCTCAGATCTCAGCCTCCTAAGTAGCTAGGATCACAGACATGAGCCACCAGCACCTAGCTGATAAGTCTTCTTGATGTCTCCTAGTAGATCAGGTTGGCCCCACACACAAAGACAAGACCTCCCTAAGGACAGGTGTGGCAGCACACCTATGTAGAAAGCAGAGGGAGGAGGATCGTCATCCAAAGCTAGCCAAAGGCCACACTAGAAGACTCTATCTGAAAAATAACTAAAGTTAGAAAAGGGTTTAGAAATGTGGCTCTTGTGGTAGAATGTCTGCTGGGCAAGGGGGCTTTGAGTTCAAACTCCAGTACCACAAAAAAAAAAAGAAGAAGAAGAAGAGAAAACAAGAAAGAAGAAACAGGTTACTCTTGGTTTCAGGGCTAGCAAGCCAGCCTCATATGCCTGCCCTCATTTCACAGAGTATGTAGTTCAAACTAGCCTCCAGCTGGCATCATTTTTCTGAGGCTTGCTCCTTGGGTGTGACTTAAGAGAAATTCTACTTGGTTTATTCACCTTCTGCAAGTCCTTGAAGGATTTCTCAGTCTCCTTTAGTTTCTCTAGGATGATTTGTTCTTTGGCTGATATCTGGGACTCTTCACATTCGAGCGTTTGTATTTCCTGCTCCAGCCTGAAAGACACACAAACAGAAGACAAGTTGTTTTACTATTCTGCAAAATTGCAGCTCCTTCCTGATGGGGAAGTTTACTTTCCTAGTAGTCTCAGTTTTACATTATGCTCAGGAACCAGGCCAATTTTACATTACAGAGCGTCCTTTATATCTGTCTTTGTTGTCTGGTGGATATTGGTCTAAGAAAAACAGCCCAGGGCTACTTCTGCTAGTTCATGGCTATTATTCTCAAATACGTTTTGGTGTTCCCCCTCCAGCACTACTGATGTGACATTTCTTAGTTAGAGTTAGATTATATTTATACAACACAAGGATATACCATGGGGAGGAAAAACTTCACATTCTCCTAGCAATCTCAGAATAATTGCTCTTCTCTAGGATGGCCACAGGGAAGCAAGTCCTGCTGAAAGGAAAGATACTGCTAAGAAATCTAGGGAGCCGACTATTTCTCCTGGTTTCTTCAGCCAAAAAAGAAGGGAGGTGGCAGAGACAGAGGCAACTGCCTGGGCGCTTCTAGAACTTTCCTCAATATTTATAGCCATTGCACATATTTTTAGAAAAGGAAGTTTCAACACTTTTAGGAGATAGGAGATTTCAATAATATTCCAGAAGAGTCAGCTATGGTGGAGAATGCCCATAATCCCAGCATTTGGAAGGCTGAGGCAGGTAAATTTGAGCCTGGCCTATGTAGTAGGTCCCGTTCTCAAAACATTTTTTAAAAAAGAAACCAAATAATGTACAAGAAGAGCAACTACAGCTATGACTTGGGGCAGTCACAGCATCTGTATTCTTTTAGTGAAATAACAAGAATAGTAATTAGCTTTTATTAATCATTTACTCTGTGCCCCGAAATGTTTGCATGGGCTATGATTATTATTTTTTAACTTTTACCAATGACCCAATGAATAAGGAGTCTCCATTTTACAAATGGGATCACTCAGGCTTGACATAGTTAAGTAGCTAGTTTATTGTTGTACATTTGTCACACAAAGATGCATCATACCAGGAGGCCTAACTCTGGTCCTTGCTTCTAACCATAGTGGCTAAACCCTGACCGTGTAGGACCTACAGTATCTCTCATTCCTTCCTTGTAAATATTCTCTACATTGACTGGCATACCGAGTTGGTGCTCTGATATAGCCGTTTCTTTAGTGCTTTTGGAGAAACACCAGACTGCTGTGCCTCTTGAACTCGTTGTTTGAATTTGTTTATTCATTCAGTCCCTCACTATTCATTTTCATTCAAAGCTAGTGCTCTACCAATTTGAGCCACGCCACCACTTCTGATTTTCTGGCAGTTAATTGGAGATAAGTCATACAGACTTATGAATCCTGCCCAGGCTGGATTCAAACCACTATCCTTAGATCTCAGCTTCCTGGGGAGCTAGGATTACAGGTGTGAGCCGCAGGCGCTCAGCCTATTTTTGCTTCTGGTCCCTTTCTCCTGCTCACGCTGAAGGCTTTGCTGTAGTGCATGCCCGCAGGTACCAACCCAGGCCCTTGTTCTCCTCTCCTATCTTCTGAGCTGCTCTTGGGAACTGGCTGCCAAGCCCTTGGATTTACACCTATGATGGAGAGTTCAGAGTCAATCTTCAGAGAGGTACTCACTAAGATATAGACTTGGATTTAAGGAGACACTGTGTCCCTTCAAAGACCTTTTTTATTTCCTTCCTGGGTGCCAGGAAACTAAACATAGGGTGGATGAAACCTTACAGCAATTACTTTATTATGAGTCAAATTCTATAACCAAATACCTCCTCCAAATGGCCACAGCTTAGATGTATCATTTCACTCAGAGAAGAAAGTGGAAGTCCTAACAACTTGCAGGACCCCAAAGCACTCAGCCATCTTCCTAGACCTATCTAGCCTCCCTCCCCACCCTCCACCTCTCTTAGCTTGGGTGTTTAGCTCATCCAAAGGTCTCCTCTCCTGTCTGTTCACTCGACCTAGTGTGCTCTCCCTTCTCCAGGAAACTCAGCCCAAACCCCAAACCATTCTTGGTCTCAGCTCAGATGCCTTCTGCTTCCTAAGGCTTTCAGAGATTCACTACCAGGAAATACTCTTTTCCCCCATCCCCCTTCCCACCCATGCATATTTGATAAGCAGAGAGCGCTTATCAAATCTGTTATATACCCCAGTATGGTTTTTAGTTTGTTTGTTTCCTGGGGGATATTTGGCAATGGTGAGTTATTCTGGCTGTCCATAACTCAAGGAGAGTATCATTGCTGCTCCTGACATGAAACAAATAGTGGTCAGGATGCTGTTAAACATCCTGCAACGAAATAGGACAATCCTCATACACACACACACACACACACACACACACACACACACACACACACACACAAAAGAATTATTTTACTCTCAAATAACAACATACCTTATTAAGTTCAGCACCTAGATTAAAAATTTATCAAGAGGATGGTAGGGGAAAAACAAAGGAGGAGGCAACAATGCTTGATAAGAAATGTACTCATTACCTTACTCATGTAATTGTAACCATTCTGGACAGTATTTTCTCACTAAAAAACTTATTAAAAAATTCATCAAGAGGAGGACAGAATGTTCAATAATCAGACGCTGAGTGAGTTGTTTTTTTTTTTTTAAAGCTGAAGTACATTGCACACAAAGCTACACCAGTGAAGATGTGACTATCAGATCTCAGGAGTCTGAGATCGGAGAGAATTCTCAGCCAACACTGACTTGAGAGCCCGTGCGTGTGGGGGGCTGACAGACAAATACAATCCAGAGGCGAGAAGACCAAGCTACATACATCAAGATATAAACACAGGGAAAATAGAAAAGAAAACAACTTTCTCCCAAATGTTCAGCACAACTTTCTATGTACATCTATGTAAATAATTTGTGGGGGAGTTGAGGAGAGGAATGTGAATGTGGAAGAAAACAGAGAGCCAAGTGACCTGTATCTGAATCCGTTCAATGCTATGAAGGGCTCCTACATAGATGGGATGAGGTTACTGGCCACTGGGTTCTGGGCCCACTTCATTTCAATTTCAAAGAACAGGGAGCTTCGGCAGATGTTTAGGATGTAACAGCAGACATTACTCTAAGAATTATTTCTGCTGCCCCCTTGCCCCTTGGGAATGGTACATATTTTTCTGACCTACTGATGTGGATCTTGACCACATGATTTGCTTTGCCCCCCTAGTGGTTGGAATATACTACCTTGTCCTTTAACTTTGTGACCTGTTTTAGCTAATGAGGTATCAGCAGACATGGCATAAGCATGGGTGGGCTTGTCCTCTTGCAGTTCTGCCTCTGCCAAGGGAAGAGCTTCTCTGGGTAACTGGTCCTTTGACCTGGTCCTCAGAAAGAACTCCGAGCCGACATGAGCTTAGCCCACAGTCAGAACACTTGCCTAGTCAAAACTACTCCTAAGGGCCTGGGAAGTTGGCTCAGTGGTAGAGCGCTTGCCTGGCATGCATGAAGCCCTGGGTTCGATTCCTCAGCACCACCTAAGTAGAAAATAGCCAGAAGTGGCACTGTGGCTCAAGAATGAGCTGAATTGCTGAGGGACAGCGTCCAGGCCCAGAGTTCAGGCTCCACTGACAAAAAAAAACAAAAAAGCTACTCCTAAGTCAGAGCCCAGCCTACTCATAGAAGTGTCAGCAAAAAGAAATGACTTTTGGTTTAAGCCAGCCAATGAGTTTGAGGAGTTTGTTATCTAGCATTATTGTAGTAATAATTAACTGAGGCAAGGCAAACATATGTTTGTGGATGCATAATATTATACATGTATATTACTATTACATTCCAATTAAATGTAATACACACATATTTTTTGCATATATGTATATGTTATATGTACATTTACGTATCCAATAATAATTGCAGTTAAAACTTAGAAAGAATATAAGCTACCCTGTTCCTCCTTCCTTTAAGCCTCAGAGAAATCTGAGTGCTCTATATAGTTTTTTTTTTGGTCGGTCGTGGGGCTTGAACTCTGGGCCTGGGCGTTGTCCCTCAGCTCTTCAACTCAAGGCGAGCGCTCTACCACTTGAGCTACAGCGCCACTTCCGCCTCAGAGAAATCTGGAGGGAAGTTGAGTACTCTTTCATGAGGATTAAGTTTGAGGAACAAAAGAAAAATGTCATTGGTATCTGTCTTTGGATAATAAGATTCCTGATGATTTTAATTTTGTTTTTATACTTTTTAATTTAAAATTTTCATGTAGCTTGGTCATAGAGTGCTTATGATCCCTAGTACTGAAAAAAAAAAGAAACTAATGTATGATTTCTCTAACTAGATTGCTTTACTTACAAAAACAACCAGAAACTGGCACTGGCAGCTCACACCTGTAATCCTAGCTATTTAGGTGGCTGAGATCTGAGTTCAAAGCCAACCTGGGGACTGAAAAGTCTGTGAGATTCATATCTACAATTCACCATCAAAAAACTGGAGGTGAGCTGTGGATCAAGTGGTAGAGCACCAAGCCATGAGCCAAAAAGCCAAGTGAGAGTAGGAGGCCCTCGGGTCAAGTCCCAGTACTTGCAATAAACAAATAAAACAACCAGCTGCTTAAAAGAAAATACTTCCTGAGGCTTCATGCTGAGCCAGGATTTCAGCTTCAGTGTTAACTAAAGGAGTTAAATGGCACCCTTCAAGAATATGTAAGTTCAGGGCTGGGAAGGTGGCTCAGTGGTAGAGCGCATGCCTTGCATGCCAGAGGCCCTGGGTTCAATTCCTCAGCACCACATAAGCAAAAAGAAAAAAGCTGGAAGTGGCGCTGTGGCTCAAGTGGTAGAGGGCTAGCCTTGAGCTGAAGAGCTGAGGGACAGCGCCCGGGCCCAGAGTTCAGACTCAGACCCCACGACAAGACCAAAAAAAAAAAAAAAAAATGTAAATTCAAAGCCAACATTTATTGTTTGGCTAGACAAGCCACATTTTAGGAGATATCTAAACAAATAAATGGTGTTAAAAATAGTAGGCTAAAAAATTGGATGTCTTCAAGTAACTCACTGTAATGCAGCTGTCCCGGGT